TTCAGAGTTGGCTGATGGGAAATACAAAGAAAGACTTCTAGAAAAAATGACCTTGCAGCTAACTCTTTAAAAATAATGAGGGGAAGAAAGAAAGAAAGAAAGAGGGCGGCACCTGTGGCTCCAAAGGGTAGGATGCCAGCCCCATATGCCGGAGATGGTGGGTTCAAACCCAGACCTGGCCAAAAAAAAAAAAAAGAAAGAGAAAAAAAGAAAGAAGGCTACTCTGGAGGCTGAGGTAGGAGGACTGCTTAAGCCCAGGAGTTTGAGGTTGCTGTGAGGTAGGCTGAGACCACGGCACTGTATCAGGGCAACAGAGTGAGACCCTGTCTCAAAACAATAGCAACAATAATAATAATAATAAGAGAGAGAGAAGAACATTTCAGGCACTTGAGTAATGGTACTTATAAAGCAATGGAGGCAAGAGAGAAAGTAGTGTTTTTAGAGTTTTCAAATGATGCAGTTATAAGGACCATTTTACAAGAGAAGGCTTTGGTTTGAAACTAAGTAAGGACATTTGGATGAAAAACTATCTTCAAGGACTCTTGCTTTACAAGAGTCTTTTTACCAGACTGATTTTCTTGATGGGAAAGACTATGTGCTTACTTGTTTTTTACTCCTAGTGGGTACCCAAATTTACTAAATTAAATAGTTGGTATGATTGAAGTTAGGGTATATAGAAGACATGGTTAGATATTGATAAATACCAATTTTTATGCCTTCAAAGGTTTTTTTGTTTTGTTTTAGGCAGAGAAAAGACTATTTGAATGTTTACTTTGGTTTCAAAAATTATTATTTATTATGTTGGGCCAGGCATGGTGGCTCAGGCCTATGGCCCTAGCACTCTGGCAGGTTGAGGTGGGAAGATCTGACTCTCAGGTCTGTTAGAAGGCCCTCTGCTCCTCCCTCAGAATTCCTACCCTACAGGGAGGATGGGAGGAGGTAAGACTAGGACCTTCTCTCAGAATTAGAGCTTTACAGGTCATTCCTTCCTTTATTTGGCCAGCCTTTATTGACCACTTGCTGCTTTCCTAGCCCCGAGATAAACACTAGGAATAATACCTTGAAAGACAGCCCCTGCTCCCCAGAACTTCTTAATCTAGTTGAGGAGAAGGAGTCCACAATCATGACACCATCTGAGATGCACCACGGTGAGGAAAGCCCAGGGAGCCACAGGAGGACTGAATGGAGGCCTCTAACTCTCAGCAAAAGCCAAGCAAGCTTTCACCGCATGTCCACATGTACAGTGAGAACAATAACATAGTGTCTGTGTCCCATCCCTCCCTGTTCACCTTCATGTGACTATAAGTTCCCTGACAATTCATATAGCTTTGTAATCTATTTCTCTCCCATCTTTCCTAGCCTAGTGCCTTGTACATAAATCAGTGAGCATCAGATATTAATGGAATTAATTAATGTATATTAATAAAGATCAGGGAAGGACCTAGAATGATTTAAGTTCAATATTTTAAATAACAACGATTTACTGAACAGTATATAGTTTATATCTTTTAATCTTTACAAACCCTGTAAGATATAGGTACTATTAATAATTTCCTTTTAAAAATTATAAAGCTTTTACAAATTACAAAAACATTTTGTCAGGAAGATAAGTGAATTGCCAAAGGTAAAATAGCTACTATGTTGTGGAGCTAAGATTTGAATCCTGGCAGTTCTATTCTAGAACCAGGACTGTCTGTATGGGATACTGCCTCTAATGCCCAAGATAGTCCTTCTGGAAAATTAAGTTGATCTGTAATTTTTTTTTTTTGAGTCATAGTCTCACTATGTCGCCCTCGGTAGAGTGCTGTGGCGTCACAGCTCACAACAACCTCAAACTCTTAGGCTCAAGCCATTCTCTTGCCTAAGCCTCCCAAGTAGCTGCGACTACAGGTACCCACCACAATGTCTGGCTATTTTCTTGTTGCAGTTATCATTGTTGTTTAGCTGGCCCAGGCTGGGCTCAAACCCACCAGCCTTGATGCATGTGGCTGGCACCTTAACCACTGTGCTATAGGCCCCGAGCCTCTATAATTTTTTTTTAATCTAAAAATTTTGGAATGATTTCATATTTTAGAATTAAACTTACCTTCTTCCAGGCTCCCATAATTTCCTATCTATATTTATTATATTAACTGCTGTTTAGGTATCTACTTTGGCATCTGTTATATTCTGGTTTGTCATATGGTGCAGGCAAAATGAGGACCAAAGACCCCATTCTGGCAAGGGAAAACACCCTCAGGAAAAGGGGAAAATAAAAAAGTAAGCTGAGTGAGACAGAACAAAGGAAAGTCAGCTAGTTAACTTTAAACCAGCCACTGCTAAATTTCTTATCTGAGCAAGTTTCCTGCTGTTCCTGGAAACTGGCTTATAGGGGGATACAGTTTACCAAATGTGCCAAATGTGCTGGATCTGTGAACACTCTGAAGGAATAATGGTGTTGTGTGAATGTTTCTTATGAGTGGCCAGCGACAGAGGTGTAGATTTTGCAGTGGAATAATTACGACAGAAAGGAGACTACCGCTCTGATGGCAGATAGCAAAGTTTTATTATTTCTTTCCTGCTGCTAGATGAACATGTTGTTAATGAATATTCATACCATTACCTCACTAACATATTATAAAAAACAAACTAGGCTCGGCGCCTGTGGCTCAAGCGGCTAAGGCGCCAGCCACATACACCTAAGGTGGCGGGTTCGAATCCCCAGCCCAGGCCCGCCAAACAACAATGATGGCTGCAACCAAAAAATGGCCAGGCGTTGTGGCGGGCGCCTGTGGTCCCAGCTACTTGGGAGGCTGAGGCAGGAGACTCGCTTGAGCCCAGGAGTTGGAGGTTGCTGTGAGCGTGATGCCATGGCACTCTACCCAGGTGGATAGCTTGAGGCTCCATCTCAAAAAAAAAAAAAAAAAAAACCAAACAAACTAACTTTTTATTTTTATTTTTTATTTATTTATTTTTTTTGAGACAGAGCCTCAAGCTGTCCCCCTGGGCAGAGTGCCGTGGCATCACAGCTCACAGCAACCTCCAACTCCTGGGCTCAAGCAAGTCTCCTGCCTCAGCCTCCCAAGTAGCTGGGACCACAGGCGCCCGCCACAACGCCCGGCTATTTTTTGGTTGCAGCCGTCGTTGTTTGGCTGGCCCGGGCTGGGGATTCGAACCCTCCACCTTAGGTGTATGTGGCTGGCGCCTTAGCCGGTTGAGCTATAGGCGCCGAGCTGTAAACTAACTTTTTAGTAAGACACATTCTTCTAAGTTATCTGTTATACTCAAAATAGTAGCCGTGAAGAAGCAGACTGTTAACTCCCTATCTTGTTGATAGATATGAAAACTGCTAGAGGAAAAAAGGCCGATTGTTCTCAGCCTCCAGCCATCTGTAGGCAGTATCTTAATCTTGCAAAACCACAATTTAGAGATCCTGGCGACATGCCAGCAACGCGCCTGCGGGCCCAGCCTCCTGGTCAAGGCACAGGAATTTTACTTCCTTGGTGCCAAGCCATATGGAGTTCTGCCTCAGTCTCTCCTGAATTGTGCCAGGCAAGATTTGTACATGCTTACTCTCAGAAACGGCAAAGGCAAAGACATATATACTTTTCCTCTATATAATGGCCACAGAGGAAGCTGTGAGCAATGCCTAGTGAGAATCATTAACTAGGCCTAGATAACAGTCAAAGCAAATACCTGTCGTGGAGATTTGCATTTTGCTGGGAAAAGCTTTAGACCTGAAATATGGGCAGGAGTGCTTATATCCCTTATTGCAGAGGAAGACCCTCTGTGGTGGTGATGAGAGGAAAATTCTTCTTTCCCACCAATTCTTCAAAGGAGATTGAAGCCACCTGCATTTTACTCCACAGTGAACTAGCGGAGATTAAAACCTAGGAATCTGTGTGTGTGTGACCGCAGGCCAAAGGCCACCCCCACACAAGGCTCAGGTTCCAGATTTCTCAAGGCTGCTCAGACCCTTAAGGTTAATGATTATAGAAACAATAGAAGCTGATGTGCTCACTCAGAAAAACTGCTGGCATCTTTGTTCCCTTCCACAGCTTACCCTCTGTGGGTAATGAGCAAATAGCCTTCAATAAAAGCTGAGTGGAATTGACACACGGGGCCACTTGCCAGGAACCCCACAAAAGGGCAGTGGTCCCCTGTGTTCTCACCTTTGAAAATTCTATTCTATGTATCTTGTCTCTTTCTCATCATTTCTTTCTTTCTTTTTTCTTTTTAGAGGCAGAGTCTCACTTTATGGCCCTCAGTTGAGTGCTGTTACGTCACAACTCATAGCAACCTCCAACTCCTGGGCTTAGGTGATTCTCTGGCCTCAGCCTCCCAAGTAGCTGGGACTACAGGTGCCGGCCACCACATCTGGCTATTTTTGTTGTTACCGTTTGGCCAGGGCCAGGTTTGAACCTACCACCCTCAGTATATGGGGTTGGAGCCCTAACCGCTGAGCCACAAGTGCTCCCTCTTTCTTGTCTTTTCTAACTTTATATTTCTTCAGTCAGTCACTGCAAGATCCACAGGTCTTAACGGACCCTGCCCCGGGGGCAGGACCCCAGCAATATAGTATCTGTATGACTTACTCCCAGTATTGCATTATAAATTCCTTGGGGCAGGGATTATATCTTCATGTCATATCAGCACAACAGCTTACCTTTTTCGTGGGTACTCAATACAGTTTTGCCAAAATAAATTCCACTATTTGTCACTATCATGGCCAAGACCTTTTTCCCTTATAACAATGAAAATGTCTTCTACTTTAACTATTCCAGCCCTCAGCTGTTTGAAGAACAGTTTGTATGGCAAGGATCGAAGAAAGGGAAAAGATGACTAATATGTACCAAATGCTATGTGGGGCCTTTTATGCACATTCTCATTTACCTTTACAACAGCCTTGTGGGGCAAATGACATCAGAATCTAAGACATGGGGAAAGAATTCTTCGGATGAATCACCCAGGTGTTAGCAGTGGAGCTGGAATTAAAACATAGGTCTGTCTCACAACAGCTTTTTTCTGTGTACCACCGAGATGGCTGATTCTGACTCTGGGGAAAGAAGCTATGACAACATGCTGAAAATGCTGTCAGACCTGAATAAGGACTTGGAAAAGCTGTTGGAAGAGATGGAGAAAATCTCAGGTAGGATGTCTTCCCAGGCAGGGTGCCTTTTCATTCTTTCTAATAGCTCAATTTTTTCCTAAACTTCTGAGCTCTCCTTAAGTGCCTTCTTTTAATGAGGACTTCTCTGACTACCTCTTAACTTTTCCAGCGTATATGAAGTAACAACTGTACAACAAAATTTGATACTTATCCACTGTTGAATTGTTTTATGATTAGTTTATATCTGTTTGCATCTTATATCTGCAACTGGACCATTATCTTCTTGGGGGCAGAAATAGTGACTAGTGACCTGTTTTGTATCGGCACAGTACTAGATGCAAGCTTACGTGCTCAGTAAATGACAAATACAGGTGAATATGACATCTGTGAACAGAAGTGGAACATTCTTTCTGTGAATTGTTTAAATAAAAAAGGTTCAGAGTAACAGTGCTAAGACAGTAAGGTGCTGAAATTGGAGATACATCTCAGTGGAATAAAGCAGCAATGGGGTTGAGCAAATTTATGTTTGGAAAGGAATGTTAGTTTGTTGCTTTGTTCAACCATATTCCCACTCAGCAGTGGTAGTAACACCATTAAAATTTCTTTTATGTTATCTGCTAATTCAGAATATGAGTAATGTTTATAATTTGTTAGCCTAAGTTTTGCTAGTGAAAATAATAATGTAAAACACACTTTAGAAAGCATGTATATGCTACTCAAATGAACACAAATTATTTTTTGGGACGTTATTTGTTTGCAAATAATTTTCGTTCATTATAGCAGTCTTTAGAAAATTTCTACTTAGAAACGTTTGCAATTTTTTGGCTATGTATTTGAAAGTTTATTTATTGAGACAGGGTCTCACTCTGTTGCCTGGGCTACAGCGGCATCATCTTAGCTCACTGTAACCTCCAACTCAAAATCTCAAGTGATCCTCTTGCCTCAGCCTCCTGAGTAGCTGAGACTACAGCGCACACTACCACACCTAGCTAATTTTTCTTTTTTTTTTTTTGAGTGAGAGTCTCACTATATCACCCTCAGTAGAGTGCTGTAGTGTCACAGCTCACAGCAACCTCAAACTC